GTTACCTCGCCTAAATAACGCTGTTGAAGGCTACAATTATCGAATATCTACTGTATTTTCTCAACATCCTCATATTTACGACTTTATTCGTCGACTCAAGGATGAACATGAATATCAACATCATAAGTCAGAAGAGAGTCAAGTGCAATTGAAAAGCGAAAGAAATTGTACGATGAAATTGACGAAAAGCTCATTCACCTGTTACAAGCATATGAGAAAGAAGAACTCGATAAATTAGAATTGGCTGTCAAATGCGGGCGCACGGTAAAAACAAGTTTGATAAAGAAATAATATCTATTGTGTTGTTGTTGCTCGTTGTCTTCTTTTCTTGTTACTCAAGTATGTGTGACTCACTGCTTCAATATTCAGAAAAAAATAATAATAAACTATCTTTATTGCTCATTTCGCTTATTTTAATTAGCTGGCATATTAGGGCCAAATTAGGAATGGGCCGAGTTTGGAGTCAATTTTTTTTTCAGCATGGGCTGAATCGAGAAGAAATTTATTTGGGACAAATCAATTAGGGACACAATCAGGGACCAGTTGGAGAGACACCAATAATTGTAGTGCTTCTCCGAATATTTGAGATAATATTGAGGCTAAATTCATTTAACCTAATGGAATTAGATTAATAACCTTGTCTAATGACTTTGAACTACTGATTGACATGTTACAGGGTTTGCTTGTGTATTAGGTAATTATGTATGTTTCTGATATGTGAGGGATGGTATAAATGAATGCTTTTTCTTTATCATATTGATACTTAGTAAACCAATGATGTTCCTTTGTGCTAAAAATCGATTTGAAATTATTGAAATCAGTCGAACACAGCGGCAACAGTTCGAACGTAATCTGGAATATAAACAGGAAATTTGTTCAGTTAGACAATGAAAGTGAAATGAAATGCTTTCAACAACGAGCATTAACCATTTGTTTTTATCACTATAATGAAATAAGGATTAGCTTTTCAAACTTGGTATTTGTTTTAAAAGTATTTCAAGAAGATTAATGTCATCCTAAACGAATACCACAAACAATATTTTCAAATAAACTGCTTGAATATCAATGGCACTTGCTCTGTTATTGCGCACGGAAGTGGTGTTCGACTAAATATTACCAATGTTCGCATTCCTGACAATAGCAATCCAGCTGATATGTGCTGGATCAAGTCACATCCACTGGAGATATGAAAATAACACAGACGAGATAATGATGATATCATTGATAATATTCTTTTCAACTCAGATTGATGTACTCGAATCAAAGGTAATGTACGTAGATAACAGAAATCATCGTATGAGAAGTATTGAAGAAATGCTTTGACAATTTTAGTGAATATATTTGACTTGAAGTTTTTGGATTTGACAATATTTTCGTATGAAATTGATTAAATATCGATTGTTGGATATGCTAAAGGTCAAAATGTAACCGTATATTTAGATCCAGCTCGCTAAAACGATCGGTCAAAAGATTGAAGGTAATAAATATTATCTAGTACACTCAAATACTTGAAGTATTTGATTAAGATTTCATTTGATAATAATTTGATTTTCATGAAAGCCGTTATTTTAAATCTAGTAGAAAGAATCAATCAACTTCAAACATACTTGTTTACATTTGTCTACTACACAAGTATGTATATTTAGTTATCTCATAACTCATTTTATATATAACGATTATATTGCTATTATTCACAGAAAACGATTAGATCCCGTTTCGTCGAAAAAATAAATTCTGCTTAATCAATGAAAAATAGATTATATCATTTGATGAGATTTTTCGTCATACTAATCAGGAATAGTGCCTAATTACTTGTAGATAAATTTGTCAAAAAAAAGCTTTATGATAGAGAAGATTTAGATACATAAATCAGAAATTATTAAGAGAAAATATGAATATAGAAAAGAAAACAATACTTTTTTATTCCGATTAATCGCAGAAATTGTTTCAAGATATTTATTCAATTTTAATGTTTCTTGTTTAAAATGTTCGTTTAATTTGTTTAATCGTACATTTCGATTTACAAATAATTTTTTTCGTGAAGGTAATATACCAGTTGCTAAAAGACGTGATGAGGGTGAATGTGAGTGTAAACAAGAAAACATCCACATCCACCCACCACATCTATGAGCGATTTTCACATTTCCAACAATCAGTTGTATTTAAAATTCGACTTTATGTGTAGCGAAATGTATCAAGTATTAAAGTTGGTTTATTACATTTACTTTCAACGATCGATAGCATCATTCTGTGTAATGATGAATGAATATAGCAAAAAAATTGAATTTCCCCTTTTTTCTTCCGCATATGTATACTTTTTCAAAAATGCAGATTACTAGTATAGGAATATCAATTAGTTTCTTTTTAAGGAAGTAATTTAAGTCAATCAAAGAAATCTAGCTTATCACTCTGATTATACTATTTTTCATGACAGTTTAATTTTTCGACGAAACAGGAAAATCAATTAAGCTTTCGACGAAACGGGAATCCACCATTAACACAGGTTAATATTGCTATTGAATGATTCTGTTTTAAATATTCTGAACACATACTAGCACAGATTTTATAATGACCAAAAGTTATTTGTTTTAACTCAAGTTTCTCCAAAAATGTTAAATTTTATTTGGATATTAAATACGGATGTTGATGATTATGACTAATTGTAAATTTATACATTTGACATATTTGTTGATGATTACCTTTTGCTATCTTAAAATAAACACTAGCACTTTGAGAATTATGCATACGAACATGAAGATGAAATTGACTTGCAACTATAATTTCTTTCATAGTGTCAAATATTTGAATAAGAATTGATAATAAACATATAATAAATAGCAGATTCCTAATTATGTTATTTTTCCTCTTTGTTACATTGATACGTAAACAAGTAACCAAATGTAGGCATATCTTGTTATGATAATATGACATGTAACAATGCCATTCTCCTTCTCAATTCTTTTCTTTCGATATCAAACTAATCTTCATTCATACTTTTAGTTACAAAACAAAATACATATACAATACAGAAAAGAAAAATTTAACTTTCAAAGCTTTTGTTGTCGTTCTATTTTTTTAATAGAATTGTTGAACGGTCGAAGGTTATTCATGTTTTCCTTCTTCAATTTATTGTATAACTTTTACTATAACTAGCAGATTGGTAAATTATTTCTTCACATGGAACTTTGAATGGCATGTTTATTAAATATACAAAAAGTCTACAAGTAATATTATTTCGAAGATTAAATTACTTTTTAGATTTTTCTTTTATATGAAAATGATAGACAGACTTCGTGAGATCAATATCTTAGTTAGTTAATTTTTCATCTTCTTCTATAGCTATTCAGTCATTGAATGACTTTTATCTTGCAAAAAAAGAAAAAAAAATAATAAAATGCGTTTGTATCGATTATGATTTTCATTGTATGACACTGATATTCAATAGATAAAAGATTAATATTCGAAAAAGAAGTACTTTTTATTTTAATGAATTTGTGTGGAATAATTAGAATCAAGTCGAAATATAGATAAATAAATACGAATTTGTAGTAAATTTAGTAATAAATCATTCGTTAACTTTTCAGAATTACTTGATAATTTTCTTTGAATTTTCTATGACAAAAATAGTTTTCTTGTGAAAAACCATAAGAACATATTTACTTGAATAATATCAATTAAGTTTTTTACAATAATTTGTTAATTAAATTTTTTTTTCTATCGTTTTGTATAAATCGAATAACTGCAAACATAAAATTAAATAAAAACTTTTTTTTCATTATTTTACTTCCAAGAGAGCAGAAAAAGCAAGAATTCATCAACTAAAGATAGGAACTTGAAATTATTATTTGAATAGCTAACAAATCTACATGACTTTCATCTGTATCAACTTTTATTTCTTGTTATTTATAATCAATATTAGCCATATCTATTTGACCGATTAATAATCGTTGTGAAATATTCATATTTGACTTGCAAATAAACAAACTATATTTTCTTTATTATCTACTATTTATCTAAATGGTGAAAATAAATTCATTTCGTCTGACTTTATTCTTGATTCAACACATTTAATATTTCAAAAGATTAAATTAAATCAATCATTTTCTCTGTAGTGTAAAATTAATTGAGAAATAAGCTCAGAAACTTGCTTCATAGCAATTACATTTCATACGTAGCTATAAAAGCTAACAGTCAGTACAAATGTTGCAAAGTCAAATTATCTTTCGATCATTGATCAAAGACAATATTGAAGCATGAGTTGTGCATGTTGAATCTTATTGCATCTAATATTTTCAATTGTACTTAAATCTTATTCAAGTTTTTCATAGAAGTCATAACATATATTTGATGAATAAAATGACATTCAGTGAAATGGTTTTATT